GGAGGAGGAGGAGGAGGGGGGGGAGGAGGAGAAGGAGGAGAAGGAGGAGGAAAAGAGAGAAAAAGAAAAAAAGAAACAAGAGGCTTCTGGGTTCCATGCCTCGTTTCTAAATTCCTGGAAGGATCTGATTGGCTTTGCTGAGCTGTGTCCACATCGCACCCTATCAGATGTTTGCAGGAAGTGGGTCATTTTCCTGATTAATGATTGATGTGGAAGAGTCCAGCCCATCACGGGTGGTATCACCCTGAGCAGGCGTCCTGGGTTGCGTAAGGAGGCTGAGCAGAGCTAATAAGCAGTTCTCCCCTCTGTGGCTTCTGCTTCAGTTCCTGCCTCCAGATTCCTGCCTTGACTTCCCGCAATCCCATGGGAGCGTAAGTCAAATGAGCCCACTGATCCTCAAGTCATTGCTTCAGTGTAGCAACAGAGAAGCAAACTAGGATGGATACACATACACAGATACACACACAATACACACATACATCACACATACATACATACACACATACACAGATACACACACATACATACACACACATACACCACACAAACATACATACACACATACACCACACATACACACACATACACACATATACACACACATACACCACACACATACATACACACATACACACACATATACACACACATACACCACACATACATACACCCATACACACACACAGGTACACTCGCGCACATGTGTGAGCGTGCACACACTAACACAGACACACACTTATGCACACAAGTGTATCTGCCAGGGAAGCAAGCCACAGATGTGCAGAGAGACAAAGACAGAGCACTCCTGTCCCTAGGAAGGGCTGTCTTGCCTTGGCATCTTGGGAGTCCCTTCTGTGAGGGCTTCTGTGCTAACAGTGGCTCCTCTGTCTGCCAGCCTTGGTGAGATTTTCCTGGAAACCCTCCCCCAACAATGCCACTCTGTCACTCTGGGCTGGCTTCTGGAATATGACTATTCACCAGCAGGAAGTCCCTCAAAGGGGCCCTTGAGAGAAGCTTCTCCCGACGACATGGGAAAAGCCACTTACCTTTTCCCCAGGAATGCCAATGGGCCCCTGAGGTCCTGGAATCCCCTGGGATAAAAAGAGGGTGAGGAAATCATGAGAAGAGAGATGGGTAGCAAAACTGGGCGGAGGAGGACTGTGGCTTAACCGACCACCACACCCCCATTGTCAGGACAGAGGTCTTGAACCTGGGAGCCATGGTTTCCTTGCTGTCCTGGGGGACCTGGTTCTCCAGGAGGACCCTGTGGGGAGAGTGGTGGGTTCAGTGAAGCCAGGAGGGGTCAGGGTGTGGAAGATCACATAAAAGAGCGAGGAACGCTTACCACATTGCCTTTGGCACCTGGTGCACCGTCACTTCCGGTCACACCCTGTGAGGTTGGAGAATGCAGGACGGATCAGGGTCTGGGTACAAGCAACTAAGAAACACGTCGGAAAGGAAACAGCAGGCAACAGAAAGACTATTCCGGCTAGGGAGATGGCTCAGTGGGTAAAGGCACTTGCTGTATGAGCAAGAGGGTCTGAGTTCAAATTCCCAGACCCATGTAATAGCCTGACAGGTAGCATTAGCTTTTGTAATCCCCTGCAGGGAGATGAGAAACTTGCAGGCCAGCTATCCCCAAGGACACAGTAGAAAAACCACAGAAAGCCCGCAGACCGGTGAAAAAACACCAGCTCCTAACCATCCTCAGACTGTCATACTTCATTTGCATTGTGGTGCAGGCTATCACACTCACGCACAGGACTGTGCACATCGTACACAGAAAGGAAAAGAGGGAGAGAGGGAAGAGATCATCAGTGATCCAGGTAGAGGCACTGCTTCCAAGTCTGATGACCTGGGTTTGATTCCAGGGACCCACACAGTGAAGGAAGAGGACCTGACCTCCACATGTGGGCCTTGCGAACACACACGCGTACACACTCACACACACCACAAATATGGGTGGTGGTACAAAGGGAAGATGGGTAAGTAAAAAACAGACAGGGAGCAGAGAACTAGCAAGATTCTCACCGGGCGTCCCAGGGGTCCAGGGAGGCCTCTGGGGCCAATCAGACCTCGGGGACCCTGCAAGGAAGGGGTCACATAATCCCAGCATCAGAGGTATATACTCTTAAAACTTTCATGGCCCACAGGAATTCCTCCCTTCCCCTCCACAGGCAAAGGAGTCTGGGGTCTCCCAATACTCACCGGCTCTCCAGCCTGGCCGGTGGGCCCTGGAGGTCCTTGCAGGCCCTGTGGAAAGTGTCATCATTATTCGGAATGGGGAAGTACAGCCCCTTTCAGAGTCAGTCTGATGTCTCCATATTTCGGCAGACTGAACTCACAGACGCGAGGCCTCAACTTACCACCCCACATCCTAACCCTAAAGCTAGCTCTCAGCGCCAAAGCTGACCTGCAGAGGTCGCTGGGGCTCCCTGCTCCTCCAACAGGCCCCAGTCAGTCCCCAGATACCATTTAGTCTGTTTCTGTTTAATTGTTTTTTTGTTTTTTTTTAATAATAAGAATGGAAGTCAGGGCTTCATATACAGTAGGCAGGCAAATGCTCCACCACTGAGCCATGGTCCCAGCCCCTCACTGGGGAATTCTAGGCAGGGACTCTACCACTGAGCCACACCCCAGCCCCTCACTGGAGGACTCTAGGCAGGGGCTCCACCACTGAGCCACACCCCAGGCCCTCACTGGGGGATTCTAGGCAGGGGATCCACCACTGAGCCACACACCCCAGCATCTCACTGAAGGATTCTATCCTAGGGTTCTACCAATGAGCCATTTTCCCAGCATGCTGAGGGATTCTAGGCAAGAGCTCTCCTGCTGAGCCATCACCCAAGCCCTTGTTCCTCAGGTTTCTGAACCTCCAAACCAGCCTTATTCCTAAACCTTCCTCCAACTTTACCTTCTCGCCGTCCTCTCCTGGGGGACCAGGTTGCCCTACATGTCCAAAGTCACCCTAGAGCAGAGGAGAGGGAGGACATTGGAATGGATTAGCACATGCAGGAACCACTCAGTGCAGTGTGGGGACAGGGTGTGAAGCTCCGGTGTGGGACAAGGGCATGGATATGGGAGGGGCCCCTCACATACTCACCCTCTGGCCCTTCTCACCAGGCAGCCCTGGAAGGCCATCGAAGCCCCGGTCACCCTGTGGGAAGAGCCAGCAGCTGCCTTGAACCCTTGATCCTGACACCCTCCACCCTCAACCTGGCCCCATCACCCACCTTAGGTCCTGTGTCTCCTGGGAGACCCCGAGCCCCATCTGCTCCAGCTCGGCCCTATGAAGAAAGTGAGGCCAAAGTCAAGGACAAATGACAGGTGTGTATTGCCTTTCCCTGACCCCTTTCCCAGGGGGACTTTCCCTTTCTGGTTTTGTTTTGTTTTTGTTGAGGTAGGCTCTCACTGTGTCGCCCCGGTTGGCCTGGTACTCACTGTGCTGGGGTAAAGTCATGTGCCACCACACCGGGCTAGTGTTTTCATTTAAAAGCACTTATTATTTGTTTGTGTTTGTTACTATCTGTGTTTGAGCGAGCACACACTCACAAGTGGCTCACATGTGGAGGTCAGAGGACAACTTTCAGAAGTCGGTTCTCTCCTCCCACCAGGTGAGTCTCAGGATTGAGCTCTGGTCACTAGACCTGGCAGTAAGCACCTCACCTTCTGTAGAAGTTCAAGGGTGACCTTGAACTTCTGACTCTCCTGCCTCGCATCCCCAGTCCTAGGGTTACAGGTATCTTTTTATATGCTGTGCTCCTCAAGCTGATCCCGCCTACACCTCAGACCCCAGACCAAGCATTTCGCCTGTTCTCAGGTCCACTAGAAGCTATGACGTGCCAAATCCTTCTCCGCGAACTGCCTGCCTTCAACGCTCTGATAACAGGGGAAGACTCAGAGGGTGAGAAAGCACAATTTAAGAACTTAGAAGTTACTCACTGTCTTGCCTTCCCGGCCAGGAGGCCCAGGAGGGCCCTGTAATCCTCGGGGACCCTATGGTGGGAAATAAGAAGAAAGGATTAAAAAGGAAGGCTTATGATTTTTTTTTGAGACAGTGTTTCACACCATGTGACTCTGGTGGACCTAGAACTCACTATATAGACCAGGCTGGCCTTGAATTCACAGAGATTTGCCTGCTTCTGCCTACTGAATGCTGGGATTAAAGGTATATACGACCACACCCAGTTTGTTTTATTTATTCTTGAGACAGGGTCTCAGAAAGCCCAGTCAGGCCTCCAACTGTCTAAGTAACTGAGGTTGACCTTGACCACCTGATCCTCTGAATCTTCACCCCCCACCCTTATCCCGCCCCCCACCCCAGGGCTGGGATGACAGCTGCACACCTCCGCACCTGGTTTACTTGGTGCTGAGGCTGTAACCCAGGGTTTCATGTATGCTAGACAAGTGCTTTCCCAGCTGAGCCCCAACCTCTAGCTCAGGACCTATTTTAAATCATTCGCTAGGAAGGGCAATAATTTCAAAGGTATATTTTTATTCCTTTTGTTATTTTCTTCAACCAGCATTTTATCCTATATCCTTAGGAGGAAGTTTTTCCTGTCTAATTCATCCCCCACCCCTCACATCCCTCCAATCTCACCTGTGGCCCTACTTCTCCTGATTCTCCTTTCAGACCTGGATATCCAGGAAGGCCCTTGGGGGACAAGAGATGGAGGAACACGGCTTGAGCAAGGTGGCTGTCTGGCATGGGTGCATCCCTCTTCCCAATGCAGACCCCTTACTCACCACAGGGCCTGGGCGCCCAGTGAGTCCCACTGGACCAGGGGGTCCCTTCATGGAGAGCTGGAAAGACAGACAGAAGCGGGAGTCCCCCACTAGACCACAGAATCACTGCCATAGTTAGAGCGAGCCTCCCCCATTCGCAGGTTGCAAATTTGTCCCCCAGTTCATATGTTGATAACACTTTGAGGGGGGCCTTTTGGAAGATTGAAATTGTATGAAATCAGAGGGGTGGGGTCCCCATAATGGCAATCAGTCTCATCCTAGAACATTTACAATGCACTCAACCAAGAGCAGAGTTCTGCTCTGGGAATCATAAGCCTGAATCAGCTGTTCTTCATAAACCACCCAGGCTCAGGATTTCACCATAACAACAGAAACTCACAGCAAGCATCTTCGGGAAAGAGGTCCTCTGTATCCCGAGCAGGCCTGCATGAACCTTTATTTCTGCCACATGGCACACTCACCTGAGCCTGCTGCAGTATTGCCTGCGCCTGGGCCTGCTGGAAGGACACTGGGGGGCCTTTCGACGAGCTGCTCATCAAAGGGAACTGAGGAGCAACCAGATAGTGAGCCGAGGTCCAGAGAAAGGCACCTGGCCAGAACTCCACTCCCCAAGCACGGGGCACCCCCTTCCTTACCGGCATCATAATTACGGTGCCAGGTAGACCCCGGATTCCATCAACACCTGGAATTCCTGGGAGGCCAGCAGGACCCTGAGAGAGGGAGGGAGACAGAGGGATGAACGGAACTGAGGTGGGGGTGGGAGACAGAAAAGGAGAGGGGAGAGAGAGGGAGAGACCCAAAGAAGACAGGGAGAGGGGAACAGTGAGAGAGAGAGAAAGAATCTGAGGAGGAAGAGAGAAGGGGGCTGAAAGAGGGAGACAGCGACAAAGGTGACGTGAGAGAGATGGGGGAGAACGGCAGAAATGGGTGAACAAGGGAGACAGACACGGATATAGGAGACAGGTGTGCACTCATGGAGGCTGGAGGGATGACTCAGCAGTTAGGAGCCCTTGATGTATGATCGTGAGGACTGGAGTTCGGATCCTAGCGCCCAAGTGGCAAGCCAAGCATCCCTCAAAGGAATGCAACACAGTTTTCAGAGATCCAAAGCTCCCTCCGGTCTCTGGACGTGCACAGGTATGAGCACACATGCACACACATATTCATAGACATTCACTCACTTGCACGTGCACACACATGCACGCACACATACAGACATAAATAAGGAGAGCTTTAGCAAGACAGCTCAGCAGGCCAGGGCACATGCCATGCCTCCTGGTGGCCTGATTTGATCCCTGGGATCCACATGGTGGAAGGAGAGAACTGACTTCTGCAAGGTGTCCTCTGACCTCCACTCAGGTGCCAGGGTAACTGCCACCACCCGTCTTGTGTGTGCGCGCGCGTGTGCGCGCGCACGCACGCGCACACACACACACACACACACAAAGATAAATTAAAACGTCATAAAATATTTAAAGACACACAAAACAGGCGTGAGGAGAAAAGTGGGATAGTTCCCAGTAACCAGTAGAAGGTGAGAGAGAAGGTTCACAGATGGGGTCAGAATCACTTCAGGGACAGTGCTCCTGATTCCAGCCCCCACACCCACACGTTCAAATCTTCACACTCCCAACCTGAAGCCCCACCCCTGCAAAGGGGTGCACTCAGTGGGGAGTCTCTTACCGGTAGACCTCGGTCCCCAGGGAATCCTGGAGGGCCAGGAGGACCTGAAGGACCAGATATTCCCTGTGAAGACAGAGAAAAAAGAAGTCTCAGGAGATATAAAATTTGAGCTTGGCTGGCTTCTTACCCACCTTGTAACTTTGACCTCAGGCAGACTTCCCTGCACTCTCTGCCTTTTAGCCAGCTCCCCCATGGTCTGTGACCTGGACCACCCTCAACTTCACACCCTAGGTGTCTTTTTGACATATCATTTGGTGCTGACTATCCAATGACCTCCAGACAACACTATAATCTAAGTGCTCTCTGTGCACACCTATAATCCCAGCACAGGAGGCTGAGGCCGGAAGATCAAGAGATGGATTACAGTCAGGCAGTGGTGGCACACAACTTTAATCCCAGCACTCAGGAGGCAGAGGCAGGAGGATCTCTGTGAGTTCGAGGCTAGCCTGGTCTACAGAATGAGTTCCAGGACAGGCTCCAAAGCTACAAAGAAACCCTGTCTTGAAAACCTAAAAGGTGGGGGCGGGAATGCAGTCTGGGCTACATAGTGAGATTGAGCTCAGCCTGGGCTTTATAAAGAGTAAGACAGAAGAGAGTGAGAGCAGCTACATAGCTTCTAGCCACGCAGCTGATTTGTACATGGGCTCCAGAAGAAAGGGGGTGGGACTAGGACCAGTACTCACCCGGGGTCCTGGGGCTCCTGCTGGTCCCTCGAACTGCTGTCCCTGGAGGGAAAAATAAGTGTGAACCCTGTTCTCATGAGGCCCCCCCAACCTCCTCCTCCTCCCATCCTCTTACCCGCTCTATTCTCGCAGGCTCTCCTTTTTCTCCCTTTTCTCCAGCACCCTGGGGACAGTGGGCAGAAAGGAGATGTGAATCCAACCCCTGACTCCTATGTGGAAGGAGACAACTGTCTTCTGAAAGTTGCCCAGGTGAAGGGCATCAACTCCAAAGATCCTTATCACATGGCTCGGCCTCTTCCCCAGTGAGGCTGGCACCTTGCTCAACCCTGTGGCCACCCACAGGTAATTCATGGAGTCAGTGAGTGTGTGACACCCGTATGGCAAGTGAGTTACAACACTTGACACACATGATGACTTATATTCATTGCGTTTGACAGGGCTTCTCTGTATAGCCCTGGCTATCACGGATCTCACTCTGTAGACCAGGCTGGCCTCGAACTCAGAGATCTGCCTGCCTCTGCCTCCCGAGTGCTGGGATTAAAGGTGTGCACCACCAAAGGCAACAGGATTTGAAATTGCCTCTGAGAGGCCAGGTGTGGTGGCAAACGCTTTAATCCCAGCACTTGCGGCTGGAGGTGGATGTGATGGGGAACATTGTCACCACAACAGGCTCTAGACCCATCTAAAACAAGTCGCTTGGCATGCCTGTGCCAGAGGCAGGTGGCTCTCTGGACGTTTGAGGGCATTTGGGTCTACATAGCACATTGCAGGATAACCAGGGCTATATAATAAGACTCTTCTCAAAAATAAAATTAAATTAAAAAAAGCCAGGCGGTGGTGGTGCACACCTTTAGTCGCAGCACTCAGGAGGCAGAGACAGGTGGATCTCTGTGAGCTTGAGACCAGCCTGATCTACAGAATGAATTCTAGGACAAGGTCCAAAGCTACAGAGAAACCCTGTCTCAAAAATAATAAAAATAAAATAATTAAAAACAACAACAAACTGAAACCACCTAGGAGATTGGTGAGATACTACTGTGGGTGTGTCCGGGTGTTTCCAGAGAGAATGCACTGAGGGAGGCATCCAGGGGGAAGAAGAAAGCCAGCAGAGAATCAGCATTCCCCAGTTACTGCATCCCCTTCTCCAGGAACTGAACCCCTCCACCACATCCTCCATCTCTATGATGCCCCCCTCCACCACATCCTCCATCTCTGTGATGCCCCCCTCCACCGCATCCTCCATCTCTATGAAGCTGCCCTCCACCACATCCTGCCATTTCTATGATGCCCCCCTCCACCACATCCTGCCATCTCTATGATGTCCCCCTCCACCACATCCTGCCATCTCTATGATGCTCTCCTCAAAAGCATGAGACCCAGCAACTGTGGACCGATCCCTCTGAAATGTGAGCCAAACAGTCCTCTCCTCCCACCAGTTGTTTCTATCAAGTATTTTGTCACTGCGCCAAGCTGAGTAACAAACAGGATAAGAAGTCAAGAAGTCAGCGTTGGTCTCAGCTCCAACTCCTACTCCGCCAGCACCAAGGAGAACCAGCCTGCCCCTCTAGACACTTCCACCCAAGGCTTTGACTTAGACACTATCTCTGTGCTCAGGAGACATCCCAAGCCTTTCCCCCCAACCTAGATGGGCTCCCCTGAGCTCTAGAATCTTCTAGTCATCCCTGGTTTGAAATCTTACTTGAATGTCAAACATTACAAATTCAAGAACCCCAGAGGTAGTCGGCTCTCTACTTTGTCCTGAAGCTCACTTGATGTCCCGCCACACAGCTGCCTTTCTCTGCTTCCTGCACTACTTCCCTTGCTGAGTCAAAAAAAAAAAAAAAAAANAAAAAAAAAAAAAAAAAAAAAAACTAGACAAGAAGCAACCTAATGGTGGAAGGGCTTGCTTCCGCTTAACCTTTGAGGGGAAACATCATCACAGCATGGAAGGCGTCATGAGGCAGCTAGTCATGTTGTAGCCACAGCCATGAAGCAAGGCAAGAGCCTGAGTACTGGTACTCGCTCCCTTCCTCCTTTCAATTCAGTAGGAGACCCAGAGCTGGCGCCACCCACATTTAGGGTGGGTCATCCCTCATTTAATCTAGTCTAGATAATGCCTCACAGACCTTCCCAGAGGCTTGTGTCTTCCACGAGCCTGTTGAGGTGGCGTTGTTAACCAATACAAGCCCTTCAGCAACAAGAGCCAAGTATTCTTGCTAACACTGTTTCCCCGCTGACTCTCTGGCTCCCTCTACTGTCCACTCAGCAGGCAGGGGGCTCAGGGAGCTAGAAGTAGGGTTCCACTGGAAGTCAAGTGGCTTCTCATCCTGTTTAGACTAAAAGAACCAGTTGCAGCACTGGTCTCTGTCACACAGTTGAGTGCTTGGTAAACATTTTCAATTGCAACTGCACCAGGGTCACGCAAAAGCTGCTGACACAAGACAGACACAGTCAAGAGAAAGCGGGTATTCACATCCATCTCCTGATCCAACCCCTCTAGACTCACAGGAAAGATCTGGAACTCAGTCTGTAAAGGCTGCTCTGCTGCCCGGAACTTGGGGCCCATGGTGGGGTCACCCCCTTCTTCATCCTCTTCAGTAGCCTCAATCTCTGGAGTCCACAGCTCAGTTTCAGCATCAGAGTCAAACTCCTGCTAAGGATATTGAGAACTGTCATCACCTTCACCACCCCGCGCCCTGGCCCAGCACCATCAACTCCCCCACCAACCTGCAAGACAGTGGCATTTTGTCCAGTAGTCACAGTGGTGGTGATGGCCAAGGGAGTGGGAGTCGGAGGCCGGTGGGGAACTGGCTTCTCTGTCTCAGGGGTATGGAGGAGAGTCTGCAGCAGGCATGGAAGGAGTGTCAGATGTGGAGCAAGGACAATCACGACAAGGAGACAAAAGAAGAGCCAAGTCTCTCCCTCAGTGTTGCTTCCCACCGATGGTGGAGGGGGAGGGGAGAAGGGCAAGTGCCCTGCACAACTGGTCCAAGGCAGCCAGAGGCGGAACCAGCTACAGAGGAACAGAACAGGGCCAAGTCTCTCAGGCCTGGGAGCAGAACTGGATTGGCTCCAGGGCCCAGTGATTAAAGTCAAGAGCCAGCACTCAGGGCCAGACTCCCGGAAGCCCAACCTCACATGTCCTCTCTCAGGACAGCTCAGCAGTCAGCCAGCCAGGCTGCAGCTCCTCCAGCCTGGACAGCTGCAGAAGAACTGGGTCAAGGCAGAGAAGGAAAGCCACGGGCTGTAGGTCAGAATCAGGGGCTGACGAGGGCATGTTACTCTTGGAATTCATGTGGAACGGAAAGATCTGGAACCAACACGTAGCTAACAGTCAGTGACCAACCCCTCCAACCAAGGACTTCAAGCAGTGACCCAACCAATGACTTTGGACCCACCTGTCAATAACCTACAAAATTAACCAAAATTATTCCAAGGACCAGTGACTGCTAAGTGAGCCCCGTCTTCATGATTCCCACCAAAGGCTCCAAACAGATCCCTCCCATCCAGGGATCCGACTGTGACCCCAACCAGTGGACTCATCCAACAAAAATCACTATTTAGTGATCCCTGGAATAATGAGCCTTCTCTGGGGTCCCCAATCAATTATTCCACTAACAGTGACCCCATCATGTCTTCTAGTAATCTCCTTAACAAATAACCCTTCACCTTTAACTAGTGTGTTGATTCCTTCTAAGTCAACTTGAGCCAACCTAAAACCACCTGGGAAAGATATTCTGTGAGCCATTGTCTAGATCAGGTGGGCCGGTGGCGTGACCCTGGGAAACTGCCTTGATTGTTAACTGATGTGGAAAGACCCAGCCCACTGTGGCTGGCACCTCCTAGGCAAGGGTTCTGAACAGTATAAGAAAAGCAAAAGCTAGCTGAGAGCAAGCAAGCAAGCAAGAATTCATGGGTTTATTCTCTCTCTGCTGTCTCTGTGGATGCAACACTTGAAGCTGCTGCTCCGACTTCCCAAAAATAACAGACTGAGACTGTAAGATGAAATAAGCCCCTCTTTCTGCCAAGTTGCTTTGGGCCAGGATAGATGTGGGGCTTTTGCTTTTGTTTTCAAGTGTGTGTGTGTGCACTCACTGGAGCTCTGCAAGTGCAGATCACTGACAGGGGCATCAGATCCCTTGGAACTGGAGCTACAGGCTGTCAGGGTCCAAGTAAACGGATCTGGAACTGAACCCAGTCTCCAATGCAAGAGCAGCAAAGAGCTCCTGACTGCTGCACCCTCTCCCCAGCCCCTTGCTCAGGATATTTGAGCTCCTGACTGCTGCACCATCTCTCCAGCCCCTTGCTCAGGATATTTTAGCGCAGCAATAGGAATGGGGCTGCACAGAATGTTGTCCTCCAGGGCTATCCTTAATAGCTATTGCCATCTTCATGGAAAGCAACCATGACTATGAAAGACCCTCAAGACCCAGCCTGTGGCCACTCTCTTACAGAGGGAGGTGGTGAGGAGGCCACTGGCCCCTCATCAGAGATTCCAACCACTCTCCCCCATATCCCTCTCCCCACTGTCTGTAACTCTGCCCAGGCTGCACATGGCCTCCTGATCTCTGGAAAGCAAAAAGTACTGGGGTGTAAGAAAGAGGACTCCAGCTGTGCAGCTAAGGGGAAAGTAAGCATCCACACTTAGGGTGACCGCTCAAGGGTCAGCCACACCCCTGTGTGTACCCTCACCTTAGCTCTGTAAGTACACCCCGCCAACTCACTGGTTCCCCAAACTAGATCCGAGTGGAATCGTGCCTTAGTTGGTCCTTAGTTCCCTATCTGTTGTCCATGTCTTCCCAGGAAAGTTCACCAACAAAGACCACCAAAACACCAACAGCTTTCTAGTGAGACCTCCCATTAGGAGCTCCCTACTGTTACCTCAGTGAACACTTCCTCAACCAGCAATACTAAACAGCACCCTCAGGAAGTGAGGGTGATCAGGATGTGACATCTGTCACCATGGACCTCCAGGCTGACTGAGCTGTTCTAGTTGGTGAGGCAGGTGTCCCCTTCCTCCCTCCCTGCTCCATGTGTGTATCTCCTGAAATTAAAGTTCAAAGTGGATGACCTTCCCTGATGGGGTATGGTGTTGAAATAAGAGCAGCGGGGCTGCGTCCCCAGCACCCCAGCCGCCTGCTAGCTTATGCCCGAAATAACAACACACAAACTGTATTCATTTAAGACTGCTTGACCCATTTCTATCTAGCCTCTTCTAGGCTAATTCTCACATATTAATTTAGCCCATTTCTAATCATCTGTGTAAGCACCCCAAGGTTCGCTTACTGGGAAGATTCTAGCCTATGTCCATCCTGGGTCGGAGGAGCTTCATTGCGTGCATCTGCCCGGGAGAGCGGAGCATGGCTTCTCTGCTCCAGAGAGCAGAGCTCTCGAGTCTGAGTTCACTTCCTCTTCCTCCCAGCATCCTATTCTGTTTACTCCTCCCACCTATGTTTTAACCTATCAGGGCCAAGGAGTTTCTTTATTGCTTAACCAATGAAATCAACAGATTGATATATGACACTCCCACATCAGTATGGGAGTGTCTCAGGATGAGTTCCCAGATGGAGCCCTCACCAATGACCCTCAGCAGTGAACCCCACACACTGGCACAATAACCATGCAGCTGTAACCAGTTACCCCACCTGATGAACACCCTACTGTTAAGAACACATCATGAACCTCATCATCATCAGGTGCTCTTGTGTTCAGAGGTGTCTCCTCCAGCTCCTCCCAACTGGAATAGACATGGGGGGGCCCCTGATGCAGGACCTGGCATCACCCTTGGCTGAGAGAACCAGACCTCAGGTGTCAGGCCCTGAGGACCAACACAAAGATGAGGGACCAGAGATGGGTGATCAGGAAGCAAAGAGAGAGAGGTCTCAGATTCTTACCTGGTTCTCGGGGGCACCAGGGGTTGGGCTCAGCCTTGAGGCCTCCTTGTTCTTTTTCTTTCTTCCCTTCCCCTTTCGACCCCGCCCCTTCTTCTTTCCTTTGCCCTTGCGACGAGGGGTGGTTGTTTCCGGTTCATCCTTGGGGACCTGAGGAAAGGGTTCTAGTCAGGACTAGAGACTCTCCCCCCATTGGAAATGCTATTGCCTGACTCCCTGAGGGCCATGACACGGTCCGTAGTTGTCATTCAGCTACGCGTGTGTATACTTGTGTGAGTGTGTGTGGAGTGTGTTCAAGTGTGCGTACATGCACACAGAGGCCAGAGGTCAGCTTTGGGTGTTATTCCTCAGGCACCAGCACCTTTGTTATTGCTGTGGAAACAGTTTTTCACTGGCCTGGAGCTCACCAGTTAAGCCAGGCTGACAGGCCAGCAAGCCCCAGGGGTCTGCCTGCCTTTGCCTTCCCAGCATGAGCGTTACAAGTGCCACCACGTTCAGCTCTTCCGCGCAGACTCTAAGAACCAAACAGGTCCTGGTGTTCGAAAGTGAGCCAGGTTTCCTGACTGAACCATCTTCCCCATCCCTGGACTGATTTTCTGTTGTTGTTGTTGTTGTTGTTGTTGTTGTTGTTGTTGTTGTTGTTGTTTTGGAGACAGGGTTCTACTACCTAGCCTAGGTTGCCCTCCATGTCCTCTGGCATCAGCCTCCTGAGTACCGAGGCGACGTGTGTGCCTCACTACACCTGGCTTACGGTTAAACTCATCTTCTGGAATTAGTCCTGCGTTCAGGGTCTAAAGTTGCTCAGCTCAGTTTCTGGGTCATAGTCCACTCTTTCTTGATACCTAGAGCCAGGTATGACTCACCTGCCACCTGGAGCCCCTCACTCACCTCTGTGGCTGGGGGACCTGGGATTTCACAGTCAGGGAGGTAGTGTTCACAGGCCCGGAAGGCAGCCTGAGGGTCTGCAATTAACAGCAGCTCCTGGATGTCTCCCTACGCAGGAGGAAAAGGAACCATAGGATGATCCTGGCCCATGCTCCCCAGCTTTTCTCTGCCCCTTCCTGTCATGGAGCCTCAGCTTCCCACCCAGGGCACCCTAAGGAGGGGAAACCTGTAGCCCCTCCACCTGTAACTCACCAAATCCATGACACCACAGGACAAAACACACCCAGTGTGACAGTTAAGCTTGCCAACTTTTAAAATTACTGATTTATTTAAAGTATGTATGCGTACACGCACAGGTGAGCCAGGAAGCTCGCGTGTGGAGGTGAGAAGACAGCCTTCAGGATTGAGGTCTCTCCTTCCACCACACAAATTTCGGGTTTGAACTCAGGCCCACAGGCTTGGCGGCAAGCACCTTTACTGACTGAGCCATGCCCTGGATGCTGGATCCCTGGATCCATGGGTCCCTGCATCATGTGGTGGTCTCAGCGACATGTCCCAGCGCTTACTCAAGCAGGGACCAAGTATACGTCACATGGTGACCTGATCGCTTGTTTTTTTTTTTCTTATTTATTTATTATGTATACAATATTCTGTCTGTGTGTATGCGTGCAGGCCAGAAGAGGGCACCAGACCTCATTACAGATGGTTGTGAGCCACCATGTGGTTGCCGGGAATTGAACTCAGGACCTTTGGAAGAGCAGGCAATGCTCTTAACCACTGAGCCAACTCTCCAGCCCCCACCTGATCGCTTGTTGATTTACTAATGGTCTAGTGCTGCCTTCCCTCAGCTCTGTGGGGCTAGGTGGAAGCTGGGCTCTCTCCTTCTCTGTTCTCTTCTAGTTTCCCCAGCCTCTGCCTCAGTTTCCCCTGCCACTGAACTCCATACCTCAAAAGTCTCCTCCCTGCTGTCCTGGGTTCCCATCATGGTGAGTCCATCTGTGCGGATAAGCCGAGGTCCCTGACCAGACACGGGCGGCTGAGGTTCACAGTCAGTCACCAGGGTCAGTTTGTCACCACTCAAGCTGACCGCCACACGGTGCCACCTGCAAGGGGAATGAGTCTCAGTGCACGGATTTCTGCAGGGTACCCTTTCCCCTTCCCATACTCACCTGCCATCCATGAGGTTGACCTGCTCGGGGAAGGGCCTGAAGGAGTCGCCAAGGAGACCCAGAGCTGGCCCCAGTGTCAGCCCCAGCTGCCGGATGCCCTTCTCATCGTAAATGGACAGAAGGACAGACTGATTGGCTGGCTGGCCCCGCACAGTGAACAGCACCGAAAAGTCCTCAGGAAATTGCCCATCTTTGCCGGCAGAGGAGAAGGGGGCAGTTAGACCACCTGGGAGACTTCACCCTTCCAGGATGGCCCCACCCTAGCCTTCCTGCCCTGACTCACCTGGAAAGAGCTGCCACGTGGGGACACTGAGCAGGCTGGACTTGTCTACCCGGAATGCTCGGTCGCCATGTGGAGCTCTCTGGGGACACATGCCAGGCCCCTCAGCTACCCCAGCTTGGTTCCTGTGCACCCCCAAGACTTTCAGAACATCCACAGGCTCCACTGTAGAGAGATGGCAGGGTGAGGAGGCGTGGTCAGAACTGGCCCAGGAGTCAGACCTGACTGCACAGCCCCCAATCCTGAGAGCTACTCAGAAGGCTGAGGCAGGAGGACCTCCACCTGGTCGGCCAGAGTGTTCAAGGTCACACCGAGCAACTTAACAAGACTTTATCTGAAAGTTGGGATGGAAACAAACAAAACTCTCAACTCCAAAAGACTTAGTCAGAGTTTGGGGGCTCCCTCCTCCCCCAAGTCCAGGGAGCAGCAGCACTTCACCCACTACCCCACAGATGTTACTGCTACATCAGTCTATTGACTCTGGTTTGGTTTTTTTTTTTCCTCCTAAGTTTTCGGTGAGAAAAAAAAAAGCTGACCTAGTTCTATGATGAATCAAAGGTTCCTGGCCGGAGCCCCAGAACCAAGCCTTCCCCTTCTCCCTTCGCCCCCACACTGGCTCCTTGGGCAGTTTCCCTGCATGGAGCCCCCTTGCTAGGGAAAACCCACAAGAGGAAAAAGGATGTGTTTGTGGGGGTGCACTCTTCTTAGACTCCATAGCCTCCTACCTTGGATCCCCAGCCACGGCCCTCTCCCTCCTATTCTCCTGTCTAACTCCCCTGGCATCCTCCATCCGTTCCCTCATCTAACTTCTGCTGACCTCTTCCTTTATCTTTCCCTGTTCCTCCGCCTCACCTGGGACCAGTTTTATCATCTTCCCATCTCCTCCTTCTGACTTCTATTTCTGATAACCCTCCCCCTCTCTCATCCCAGAAAAGAAAGAATTGGTCTGGCCCAAAAGGCCCCTAATCCAAGCCATCCTCGCAGCCCCGCCCAGACAGCTTGAACACTCTTAACTGGATCCACATGGCTTGGGTAGGGCGGGTAAGGGCTTCCCCTGGGCCCAAAGCCCCTGGCCTGTCCCCTCCCCTAGCAAACTGTCCCACTAACCCCCTGACCCAGACTCTTGGCAGGAGCCAGGTTCTGAGGAATCTGCCATGACCTCACTCCAGGGTGGCTCAGCTGACTTCATCACTGAAAACTGAGTTGGGGGACCAGACTTGGGGAGGAAGGGACCTGGATGAAGACCTCCATCCCAACCCCCCCCCTTTGCCTCCCAAACTCTGCGGAGTTCTGTTCCCATCCCTGCACCCTTGTCCCTGCCCGTTCTACCTTCTCTTTGTCCCACTATCCATGGCTCAATTCTGAACCAATCAACAATCAATCTTGCTTTCTTGGTACTCTGTCCTCTCTTTCTCTCTCTCCCTCTCTCCCCCTCCCATCTGTAATTGTCTCTTCAGTGGCCAGGCTGTCATTAAGAGGTATTTGGATTATAGCCCCCCTGGGGCTCAATTTGGGCTCTCAGGCTCTGCTAACCACAAGGGTCATTCCCCAGTGGATCATTCCAGCTGTCCCCTCTAGACTGGGAGCCCCTGGGAAGATTTAGATCCACAACATCCTCCAGTAGAGCACTCTGCCCAGCTCAGTTTGTTTTTGTTTTCCGAGATCCTACCTTAAAACCGGGCTGGCCTTGAACTCCCGACCCTCTGTCGCTCACCTCCACAGTGCTAAGATGACAGACACACACTGCCATACCCATTTATACAGAGCAGGGATGGAACACAGGGATTTGTGCGTGCTAGATGAATACTCTACCAGCTGAGCCGTATCCTAGCACAAACTCCAATTCCTATGCAGTAGGAAAAGAGGATCTCCCCTTGGTCACTGCGAACTGCCATTTCAAAAGTCCTTACGGCCATCTAACCGGAATCACTCTTGCTTCAATCTCCAGTCCTCGCTGCAATGACCTTTCAGCAGCTAACTGCCCTTTCCCTGGCATGGCTCCGTGACAAGGAGGCACACAAGAGCCATTGAGCCTGTGGGGCCAGCAGGAGGGGTCAGAAGCCTCCCAGCCCTCCCCCACATACACATACACATACACACCCCTCTCCCTGCCTTGGTTCAGGCGTCTAGGGAATGCCTGGTAGAGTGTAAGATGTGGAGGGGCAGAGAAGGAGCAGGCTGGATCATGGATGGAATTCCCCAAAAATTCATGCATGAAAAATTTTGCAAGCATGGGACTTGCCACTGGTTGAGGTATACGCAGTTAATTAGATAAAAAGGTTTAAGGACTTGACGAGATGGCTTAGCAGGGGAAGGTACTTGCTGCCAGGCCTGATGACCTGAATTTGATCCCAGGAACCCACGTGGTGGAAGGAGAGACAGTTCTCTCCTTCAAGCTGTCTGACCTCCACATGTGTACTGTGGCATGCACGCACGCGCGCGCGCGCGCGCACACACACACACACACACACACACACACACGAAATGAATGTAAAAAAGAAAGTTCTAAACCTGATGCCATTGTTCGGCAAGAGTGGGGGCCCTGGCAGCAAGATTTCCACACCATATACCCCACAAGCCAGACTTGCCACAGGAGATGGAGCCATTAACCCCAAGGAGATGTCTCCCACGTCATGCAGGGGAAAATCTGACCAAATTACTGAGTGGGCGGCTGGCTGTGGAAGATGACAGCATTCGCCTGTGGACCGTGGGGAAGCATGTGTGAGAATCTGAAAACACAGGAGTGATCTTCTGTCCGGGTGGCAGATGGGGTTGCCTGGGTGTGGCCTGCGTTGCACATTCCTGGAGTCCCAGGGGTCTTGTATTCTGAGGTCACATGACCCTGAGGTTGTGAGAGCGTGAGAATGGGGCATAGGCCAACACGGGGTTCTCCACATGGGCAGGAACCTCCCTATACTGAGCAGAAATTAGGAACGTGGGGTCTGTGTATGCCGGTGGCCTCTGAGGGACAGAATGCATCTTCCTTTACTTCTGGGAGATGATCTAGATCACAGAAGCCCTGGTCATCCATCACTTGGAGAATCATCGTGTCCTCTGACCATTGCCACACGCAGAACCCTAAGAGGCGTGGTTGGGGCTCCAGGCCAGATGCTCACAGCTGGGCATGCGTCAGCGATGACTCACCCGTCCCTTAGCCCTGGGGACCCTCTTGGGGACCCTGAGAAATTCTTCAGGAAAAATCACCCCAGGATCTTGCAGCTGGGGTGCGATGCAACTTCCACTTGACCACCCCCGCAGGCGCTCAGCCCCACTCCGTCCCTCGCCGCACCCGCCTCGCCCCTCGCTGCCGCCCTCCCGAGGGCCCTGTCCATGGTGCTGATGTTGTGGCTCTAGGGAGAAGGGGTGGGGGAGGGGAGGTGGGGGAGGGGAGCCAATTTCGGGCAAAGACGTGCAAAACGGTCAGAGAGATGGCTGAGGTGGGGTGCTTGCCGCCAAGCCTAATGACCTGAGCTCAATACCAGGGACCCACACGGTGGAAGGAGACCTGACCCTCGAAAGTATCATCTCAGCTACACACACTCTGTGGCACAAGGGTGCATACACACATATACAGAGATAGATGATGATGATGATGATGATGATGATGATGATAGATAGATAGATAGATAGATAGATAGATAGATAGATAGATAGATGATAGATAGATAGATAGATAGATGATAGGTAGATGATTGATTGATAGATAGATAGATAGATAGATAGATAGATAGATAGATAGATAGATAGATGATAGGTAGATGATAGATAGACAAAGATAATTTTAAATAGAGTTCCTGATATGCCTACTCCATTCACTGCCAGCCTCAGAATCAGTCACTCATGTTCCCACATGCAATCATATAAACCCCAAAATCCCAACGACAGCCAACCAAAGACAAATAAACGCATCGGTAACACACACGATTGCTCTAAAAATCATCCCCATGGTTTAGGAGTGAAACTTGGTTGAGACAGTGCTTGCCTAGCATGCTGGCGGCCCTGGAGTCCATCCCCAGCACTGCATAACCTGCCATCCCAGCATCTGGAGGATAGAGGTAGAAGGATTGGAAGTTCAAGGCTACAGCCTGGCTACATGAGACCCTATTTCATGTAACAGACCGGGGGGGGGGGTTACAGCACCACAGCCACGCTGAACTCTCACATCTGACTGCACACAGGAACTGCCCTGTCACCCACATTTACACAATCCCAGTCAACCCTCACCCCCAAGTGCACACAAACCTCTGTAAATTACAGTGTTGTTTTTTTTTTTTTTTTAAAGGCAAGCTCTCATATAGCTCGACCTGGCCTCAACTTCCTAGTCCTGGGGTACATATGTACCATTATGCTGGATTTTATTGGTACCGAGGATGGACCCCTGAACTTAGTACATGCTAGAAAAGCTGTCTACCAACTGAGCTACAGCCCTATGCTCCACCGACCCACTCCGTTCCTCTTTAGAGACTGGGTCTGCTTATGCAGCCAAAGATGCCCTTGAATTCAGGTAGCCCAGACTAGTCTAGAATCAGCAATGCATCTGACTTTTCCTCTGGAGTGTTGGGATTGCACCACGCCCGCAGCATTCATCTTCACACGCCAGCTCGGAAACACAGACACACGTTTCCTGGCAACAGCCCCCTCCCCAGTGTCACATAACACACATCAGCGAGAACTAGACCCTAGGGTCTCCATATCACCACGGCACCCGTTACGAACGATCTCTCCTTTGTACACACGTCTTGGGGTCTCCCTTGCCCCCCAAATGACATTCCAGCCCTTCGTCCCGCCTCACCAGCCAGCGTCCAGGACACGAGCTGCAGGGAGGCCAGGAGCAGGCAGAGGCCGGCCCGAAGCTGGTTCAGTCTCCGGCCGTTTCTCATCCCAGCGGGGCCCCAGTGCGCCTAGGCCAAGAGGGTTGTGGACTGGGCTCCGGAGGAGCAGTCACTCTGGGCACCCTGAGGCTGTGAGGATCAGCAGAAGACTGCTTGAGACCCCGCCCTGGCCGCGCCCTGCACTCTAGCGCCCTGGCCGGGCGGGGCCGGGGCGGCAGGCGGGGGAGACCCACAGCCGCACGGAAAAAGTTTGCGAAGTGGGCGCCACACGCTGATTGGCTGGCTGAGATCTGTGGCCCTTCTTGTCGGACTCCACTACTTGGAAGATGGGTCACGCCCACCAGCCCTAGACTCCCGGAGTGGGGGCGGGGGGAGTCCCAGAGTAATGCTAAATCTTCGCCTTTGGCTGGCTCTTTGCCTCGTGCTCTCAAAGGCTGTTTCAGCGCGATCAAACCTTCAGCCTCAGAGCTAGCGAGTTAGCTCAGTAGGGAGCAGCACTTGCCACTAAGACTAAGGATCTCTGTCCGGGAATCCACATAATGGAGAGAACTGACTCTCAAGAGCTGTCCTCTGACTTCCACACTCTCACACCCTGGACACAAAAAATTAAAGCAACTAAACTAAAGACGTAGTGGCACACACCTTTAATCCCAGCACTTGGGAGGTAGAAGGCAGGTGGAGTTCTGTGAGTTCGAGGTCAGCCTGGTCTACAAAGTGAGTACCAAGACAGCCAGAGCTGCCTCAGAAAATATTTAAATAAAAGCAAGCCTTCAGCCTCCCCTCAGACATGGAATCAGATACCTCTTTCTGTCTCAAGGTCCCCAAAGGAAGGGGGAGCTCCCAGCATCACCCCAAAGTCTGCCCTTCGGGACTCCAGTTCTTCCATAATCCTCACCTCAGATCCCCAAACTGTCCTAGCTACTCTCTACCCCTCCACTAGTCCACATGCACCTTGGAATTTGGAATTGGATGCCTGGTACCATCCTTAAACTCTCACCATGGATTCCAAACACATGCCTAGCCTTCCATCCAACTTCCGTGTACATCCATGTGTTTGTGTGTGCATGGGGTGGGGGTGTGCCCACATATACACAGTATCTGGAGATCGGAAGACGCTGGCCGTCTTTCTCTAACATCTTCCATCTTACTTTTTGTGGCAAGGTTTTTCATCAAACCTGGAGTTCTCCAGTTTGGCTAGGCTAGGCTGGCCACTGACCCCCGTGAGTTCCCTGTCTCTCCCTCCACAGGGATTGCATTCCAGGCATGGGCTGATGCACTTCGGTTTTTCTATGGGTGCTGGGGATCTGAACTCAGGTCCTTGGATTCAGGTCCTATGCTTATACAGCAAACACTTGAGACTGAGCCATCTCTCCCCCTCAAACTCTATTTTTCTTTCCGCTTTATGGAGAGGGGATGGAACCCAGTGCTTCTATATGAACAGCCTGCCACTGAGCCCCACCCCAGGCTGTCCCGCAAGCTTTTAATCCCCAAAGAAAGAAACTGGCTTCCATCCCTCCATTCCTTCTGCCTCACCCTGAGATCATTCAAGGGAGACACCCACCCCAATTCTAAACCTTCATCAAATGAGACTTCCCAGGGTGCCCAACCCCATTCTGCTCTCAGCTGACTGGCTCAGACAGGCAGGAGTCAGGGGAATTCGCCCAGGGAAAAACCTAAGAGATGAGCCTGTTTCCAAGTGCCACTCACAGGGAACTGGGAGGTGCCAGACCAGAGAGCTCACTCCCAGCCTGGGTTCCTTAGACAAAGAGTCTCTGTCCCTGGGGAGAAGGGGTGGGGCTCTGTGTGGCTGGAAGAGATGGGGTTCCCTACTGTAGAGGGAGAAGAGAGAATCTCCTCTCCCTAGAGCCAGGCTTTTCCAAATAAAAGGTCATCACAAGTCCCTAGCCCTGGCCACCTTGCTAGGAAGTTCTTCCGGGAGTCTAACTTTTTTTCAACATTTATTTATTCATCGTGTGTGCACGGGCATGCACGTTCTATGTCACAACTCTCCAGGATAGTTAAAAGACAGTTTGGGGGAGTCAGTTGTCCCTTCTTCTACCATGCAAGTCCCTGGAATTGAACTCAGGTCACTGGGCTTAGCAGCAGAAACCTTTATCCACTGAGACACCTGGCTACCCCTGTCTCACTTCTTGACATCCAACTGACTTTTTGAGGGGAGAGGATGCTGGGACAAAAGCCAGGCCTGTGCACAAGTTGTGTCTGCACTTGCTCTGACTGACATTTGTCAGTGAAGACTTCCGGGAACTCTCTTTCTCTTCCCCTGAGCAACTAGACCTTTGCCTTCAGAGACAGTGAGAGAGAGAGAGAGAGAGAGAGAGAGAGAGAGAGAGAGAGAGAGAGAGAGAG